CGCTTGTTTTGGCGCGCCGCGGCCGGCGCTCGTTATAAGAAGACGCTTCCTCCACACTCAGTCCGCCGCCCACTTGTCTCACCCCCTCTCACTAGGCTCGCCGCCTCTGCGCCGCCTCGGCGCTTCGGATTTTTGCGGAATCCGCGGGCGCCGCTCCATCGCCTTCTCCTCCGAGATCTTGTTTGGCGAGAAACGCCTCATCCTCGGCACTTTCGACACCGCAGAGGAGGCGGCCCGCGCATACAACGCGGCGCCGTGGCGCCTCATGCAGCCTAGTCGAGAGATGAATTTTCTCGACGTGTCGAGCCAACGGGCGCAGGATCTCACGCCTCTCCCATGGCTTTTCACCGACGAGGATCGTCGTGTCCACCGGAGGCGGCAGCATCGCCTCGCCATCGCCGAGATGGACGTGGAAGCCTTGGTGGTGTGGCACGAACGCTTCCCGCACGACACCGTCGATGAACGCCAGTTCTACAAGCAAAGAAGGACAGAGAGGGAGGCGAGGAGGACGGAGCGAGCTGCCTATCGGGAGGACAAGCGTGCGCGAAAGCAGGCCGCTCAATAGAAACTGAAGCTATGAGAAACATCGGGGTGGGACTTCAAGGACGAGCGGGCTGCTGACGCCTACATTCAGACGTCGAAGGAGGACATTACCGAGTCGGAGTCGGAAAGCGACGAGTAGTTGATCTTTTCTTTTATCTCTGTACGCTAGAACTATCTATATATCCTTTTTCTATCGGAAAAAATGGCCGGCAGCGTCGGCGACGAAGCAGGTGGGCGAGGGTGTCCGCCACCGACTAGCGGGCCCAGGGAGGAGAGAGGGCGAGCGTGTGCGTCCGTCTTGTGTCCGCGCCGACACAAATCCAGCTAAAAAAGGACCGGAAATGGGTCGACAAATGAACAAAAGCGGACGCACGTCCGTTTGGGTCGGCGCGTTGGGCCGATTTTTCTGTCCGCGTTTATCCAAACGAATGGCGGCGGACGAAATGGATCACCCCATTGAAGTTGCTCTGACCACCCAGCGATGCAAGGGCACCGTCGGCCGGACGAGGTACCAACTTTCCCTCCGAATCGATTCGAGTGTTCCTTGACCTCTCGCGCCCCGTAACCCCCGAGTACTATTTCTACTCCGGCCCCCGCCGGCGGCACCACCGATCAATCCACGTCGATCCGCGGGTTAATTAGAGAGCAAATCTTTCCTCGCTAACTTGTCAGCAGGACCAAATTACGGTAATCGTGTGGACGTTTGACCATGGGAGGGATAGATATACAAACTTATCCTGCGCCCTGGGTGGGTGGGGTGTGGTGCTCGATCGAGTAGACAATTCTCTTTTACGCTTTGCTTTGCCAGTTTGCCTGCCTTTGGAGCCCGTTGGTTAGTTCTAACCACACATGATTGTCGATTGACATCTAGATAGATAACAAGTGGGGGAAAGGAGCTTAAAGAAAACGTGATCGGTGATCGAGTTAAAAGACAAAGGGCAAAGGTGGCAGGTGGGGGAGGTGTCCCAACTCGGGCGGAGTGGCCGGGCGGGCCGCCGTCCCCAACTCCAACGGCCGGCGTTCGTCCGCCCGTCCATGCATGGCGTCGGGATGGCGCTGCCACTAACTAGGGCATCAGGCCAACTCCACCGGCGACCCCATCTTGCCCGGGTGCGTCCATTCGGGATAAAATGAACGAATAACGCAGCCCAACGCGCGGCTTCAAACGGACAAATGTCCAGAATCCGTCCGTTTTCGATCCATCCTCGGCTCAAAGTTGTGCTCGGTTTGGGGTGAAACGGACGCGCGCGGACGGCCGGGACGCACGCCCTTGTCCCCCCGTGGCCCGCCTGTCGAGGACACTAGCAGTCCCTCCCTCTCAACGCTTCGACCCTGTCTCTCCTGCCCCACCCCGCCGCCGGTGCCGTCGCTATTCTCCAGCCGCCTCCTCATGGCGTAGCCGCCGGCCGTCCATACCAAACCACGTGGCCGCCATCACGCCCGCGCTTCGCCGTTTTCGGCGTAGTTTTGGCCGTCGATTGGAGGAGGTTTGGTCGTCGTCGTCTTTGCCGGTGGCAGAGGAGACACGACCGTCGCGCGACGTACCACGGCGGCCGCGGCAGCTTCGGACGGCTCTAGAGCGGCCAGTAGCCGGCCGGCAACCACCCCTGCTGCATCGAGGTGATCATCACGGCCTCTTCACCACTAGGACCGCAAGGTGTTTGGCATTTTGCCCAAAAAGGTATGGACAGTGGGGACGAGTTCTTCTTCCACCACTTCCTTTGTTTATCGGATGATTCATCGTCTGATAATGAAGATCTTGTGGTGGTTGCACTAGTCGTTCACGACCACATTCAACGGCAGCTTCCTCAGTACAGGGGGTCAGTCCTTGGCCGTGCTCTCAACCTGAACCGCAACAGGGAGAGAGGCCACGCCCTGCTCTATGCCGATTACTTTTCAAACAAACCGCTCTTCAAGCCGGATAAATTCCGCCACCTTTTCGAATGGGAAGGCATGTGTTCAATCGTATCCGAGAGGGAGTGGTCTCTCATGACCCATACTTCGAGTGCAAGATGGATGCCCTTGGCAAGCTTAGGTTCTCCTCTTACC